CTAGATCCGAGTCTCTCGTTAATGGCTAGACCGAAGGTTTTAGACTCAAGTCTAACTCCGGTCCAAACGTTCAAGAAGCTCTTCACCAAAATGATCTAGGTGAAGCAAGAAATTGTTGGCATGATTTGGCAGCCAAGAAGCAACCCTAGCTGGCCCTAGTTCCAACTTGCACGGAGAGCTAGTTTAGAAAAGGGTTTCTGCCCTCTAGCCAGAACTCCTTCCTCGAGTTCTAGTGGCCAAATTCCCTCATCCTAGCTTCGTCTACCTACTTTAAGAATACCCAAAGCCCTGCTGCCTGTTGTCCTAACCTCAGAAGGAGATTCCAGTGGAAAGAGAGGAGATCGAAATCGACAACGATCTGCAATCTACCGAGAGCACCCACGTGATATCCAAAGACAACTTGTGCTCTTACGTGCCTATAGGTCTCTTATTATACTGTTATTTCATTATTTTAAGCCTTGTAGTTAGCACTTTAGCTTTACAAGTAATAGAGGTTATTTTCTTTGAGTTTTACGTTTAATCTTATAGTGATAGTTCTCTCCTTTGCCAAAACTTCCATTCGAGATACTTCCAGGTTCCTTCTTTCTTTGAGCTGTCTTATGCCCTTTATTCAGAGATAAATGGAGATAGGGGATAGGAGTTTACTAAAGAAAAGTTCTAACTCCGAAAGCTTACGTAGCTCGGAACTCACGTAAGCACCCCACTCGCTCATTCTGTGGGTTCTAGGAAGCAAAAGGTAATAAGCAATGCCGAAGTCAGGGTATCTTGCAAGCGGTTCTGTTCTAGTTTCTTCATATGTAGTGCGAGTTTCATTTTATACAGGGTTTGTTCCCTTCCCATAGCTTCTTGAAGAGAATTGAATTTGAATGACAACTAGATAACTAACTAATATAACCACCGAAGGTCCATAGTACTAAAGCATAGTGTCATCAATTCAGAAGTTAATCCGAGCATCCAACCTCCTACGCCAAAGGAGATACATGATGTTCATCTAGATGAAGAGGAGGTAGAATTGAAAGACTAAATCTAATCCTTTGAGAAGGAATGAGACTTATTTAAGGTGACATTAATGTGTGACAGTTGGATCAAACCCACTAGAAAGAGCATCATCAACTTCCTAGTATATTGCAACAAAAGGATGGTTCTTCACAATTCAATGAATGGCTCAAACATAATTCAAGATGCAAACTACATAAAGGAGGACATGATGGTAAAGGAGATTGGTCATAGTGTGTTGTGTAGATTGTTACCGATAATGAAACGAATTTCAAAAAGTTTGGATTATAGTTGATGGAACACAGCAAAAACTTTTTTGAACTCCATATGCAACACATTGCATGGACTTGATGAAGATATTGGTGAACTACAATCAGTCCAAAGGACAATGCAAAAGGCACAATCCATCACAAAGTTTATCTACAATCATTAGTAGGTGCACTTCTTAATTCAGAAGTTCACAAATGGAGAGATCCTTCGAATTAACATTACACACTGTGTAACAAACTTTATCACTTTGAAACCCATTCAACAAAAGAAACTTGGACCGAAGTCAATGTTCACATCAACGAAATAAGTTGATTCTTGATATACGAATTCTTCTAATGGGAAAAAGTGGAGAAGCTTATATATGTATTGTATTTTCTTGTAGCTGAGTGGTGGCTTCAATTTGGAGTGTCGCACCTAATCTAACAAAGGTTGCAGTTAGTGTGCTTTCACAAACAATGCCATCAAGTGGATGAAAGTATAATTGGCCAATGTTTACATTGATTTACATAAAAGTTCGTAACTAACTATCATATAGATGTCTCGAGAAGCTTATATATGTGCACTACAATATGTGTTTTTAAGGCTATGTTGTGCCAAGCACGATAAGGAACAAGAGAGGCCAGAGATTAATCTTTTTGACCTCTAGGTCTATAATGAAAATTCTTAATCGATCCTAGAATAGGTCAAAACAATAGAGAACCTAAGCGATCTTTTGCTTGATGAGGCAGGAGACCCCACATCCATCTCGTTTCATCATTGAGACGAAGTAAAGTAACAACATCCCAACAAGAGGAAGAGGAAGAGGAAGAGCACCCTTAGTTAGGACATGATGGTCGAGGAGCTGGTCTAATAGGGGTTGTGACACCCAACAATCACAGACATCCGTTAAGCGTACGAAGGGGAAGGTGATAGCATCGACTAATCCATTGGAAAGAATTGATGAGCAATAATTTTAATTCAACGACGAGATACTATATCCCTCAAAGTCAGCACTTTGTGAGGTCCATGGAGATAGTAGTGATGTCACCAATAGTAAATCAATTGATAGTGGTGATGTCAACGGTGATTTGATTGTTTTGACTAAGTCTTTGGGTGGGGCATAGACAAAGGAGCAACCCCTTATGCATGCCACTCAAGATTCAAATCACAGAGCTCGAGGGTCCATACATATTGTTTATGATCAAAAGGATGAAGAAAAGAGGAAGACAGCCAATGACTTTAAGCAAATGCAATAGAACCTCTATGATATCGACAATGGTAGGAGCTCATTGTATGGTATGATCTTATGGGCCAATAAAATGTATGGTTATAGTTGGTTATCTTTTTCGGAGTTTAATCATTCTTACTCAACAAAGCAACAAATCAGTGACGATAGCTGAAGTTTTAATGCACTTCAATCTTCGTAGCGCTATATGCCATTATCATACTTGCCTCAGGAGGCTCCTCGTACACATGTTATTAATGATGATGAAGCAATGATTGTTACCACGTTGATGCATCAAAGACATATAGTACAACCCAAGATTGGGTTCGACAAGCCTACCATATCAACATACAACTTCATATGATCGAGGACGCCAATCCACCAATCATAGATTTTCGACATTCATTTTGGTGGTAGATGTAGGTATATATAAATGTTATCTCGATTTCTAAATAGTTTATTTCGCTTAAATTTTAAGGTTAAGACACCTAATCCAACATTTGAACTCTTTTTCTTTATAAGTGATTTAAGATCAATTAACTTTCTTCGATGGAAGCTCGCGCGACAAAGTTGTTCCTCAATTGATCCAAAAAAATTTGCCTCTTATAACCTAGATTATATATTCATTTATGGCATAGATACACTTTATTCTATTTAAATATATTTTATATACTAATGAATTACAAAAAAACAAGGTATACAATTTCAAATGATACCGCCGGGTACGGGTGATACGTATCGATCCGACAGTAAATCGATACGCGGACTGCTCATTACCAGGCAGTATTTTTTTATTTATAAATTATATATATATATATATATATATATATATATATATAAAGGCGACGTCGCCTTGGCGACATCGTACATTTATATATATATATATATATATAAGTAAAAAAAATTTTCGGCGACGTCACCTCTCTTCTCCCCAAGCGGGGCAACGTCGTAGAAAAATGAGGCGATATATAATCTTTTATATATATATATATCGAACGGTATACCACTCGGTATACAGTACCGTATCGTACCGAGAGAAGGTCGAAACTCTAGTACGATACGATATTTCAATCCTTACAAAACAAATCCTAAAAAGATTTTTTTTTTAGTTTCTAGCCATTTTTAGAATATTAGTATGTATCAGCATACCATAACATTGTATAATGATACTCACTGATATGTATCAATCTGTGATCGATCAACACAATATGATATTTCTTTCACGAGATAATCTCATTTCAAAGTATACTAACCCAACATGAGGGCCCATATTAAAATTAACATTATGTTTTAAAAAAAATCTAGTCTACAGGGCTCCCGTTATAGTGTAGAGAAAGGGTCATTATACGAAATTTCCCGTTATAGTGTAGAGAAAGGGTCATTATACGAAATTTTACTCTTTCAAGAAGAGAACTTTCTGTGACTCCAAAACTAGTCATTTAAGTTACAAAGAAGCAACATTATTTTAGCACCAAAGCTAACAAACTAAATATTCTACCTACTTATTAACTTGTTACCCAACAAAGCATTATTTCAAGCATAGTTTGACATTTTTAGACCAATATGGGTCTGATACTTGTCGATGTATCGATACACAATATGTTGGCACATGTCGTGATTCTTTTTCAAGATTTGAATATATGGTGTCAGGAGGCATGTGCCATCAACTTGACAAGCCACCAAACAAGTACAAAACACAGAACCATGGTTTCAAGTTACTATTAATAGATCACTAAACTCAAATTATATGAATATGCCCGTTCTGTATCTTCCCATGTGGTACTATTAAAATATTAGTCCCCAACTCTAACACATTTGTCTATTCCACATTGAAAGATGAAGTAAGATTGTTAGTGACCTGATTATTGTATTCCTAAGTCTAAAGAAAAATAAGCCATGTTATTTTAGTCAAATTGCTTGGATCTTGATAAGCAGTTTTTAGATAACATTATAAGCTCCCACATGTCAGCTATATATTATGACCTGCTGCATGGTTGGGACTTATAGATTATATGTCATACCTTGATGACAAGGAATGAATAAATTGATTGGTACATACAACTTGATTAATCTACAATCAATAATTTGGATTGTGAACATGTTAAACAATGTTGGTTAAGAACTGTTCAACAGAGCTGGTACGTCACATGAGCTTGTGAGACAAACTCAAAAAATAATTACTTCTAAATTGGACAGCTTAACCTTGTCCAAATTGTTATTACTGCATTAAGTGCTAGGTATCTATATAAAGAATTAAGGTTAAGGGTTGCCTCCCACCTGAACTTCACTTACTCCATTATAATGCTTAATGTCAAATTCCCTCAAGAAGCTAATAAAACTAATAAATTGAAAACATTTGGAAACACTGTAGTAGCCATTCATGCTTCCGTGTATGTTTATCAATGAAGAAAATAGAAAAACCAGTTCATAGAAAAATGCACAACAGGTAATTACACACGCAATAAACGAGCTATAACATTTGTAAACAAAAAGTAATATTTGGATAAATTGTATCCATCCTCCAACATACCATGTACATTCATCAGCAAAAAGATGACAACAAAGAGCCAAAGATACCAACTACATGAAAGCAAGTTCACGATGAGTCAACAAACAATGTAAACAAAGAAATGAAGTTTAACAACAAAGATAACTACCTTATGCCAACAACTTTCTTAAAATCATCCTCAAGAGCACGCATCATATACTTGTGGAAATCATATGCTTTATTTGAAGAGTGTCTCTGGAATTTTTCATTCATTATACAGGTGGTACATAGGCCATATTTTGTAATAAAAACAGTAAATTTACTGATAATGCCTATAATATAAACCTCACCATGACGAATCCTGCCCTTAATGCTCTGTAATCTGATTTTGACACTGAAGAATAAAACTGCTTGAAGAATGATATCTACAACCACATATGACATAAAGAGCTATTTATCAAGGAAACCTCAGATTTATGAGAAGATTTAGAAGTTCAACTTCTACAAGAAAGAAACAATCTGTCTCAGTGACAACCTCAAAAAGGCTTATGATTTCTCAAATATTTGTGTGTGCAAAACACGGTCAAGGTTGAAGATTACATAAATGAAAATTGCAATGTTTTAGTTTGAGTCACTTGATTTTAGTCAGAGGTCTTATTTAACTAAAGAAAGTTGAATCTACAGAATTTGTATGTTAGGGTATAACAGAAGGCCAAAAGAGGGCGTGCAGACTGAGTACATATGCTAAGTTTGCATTTCCAATAGATTCCAGTCCATTTCAGGACAATGAACTTCAGAATCTAGTCATAACAGCAAGGTTTCTTTTATTATCAGATACCAGGTGGCATTACTGAAAGTGACCAATGCCTTGTTTTCAGTAAGATCTTAATCAAGCAATATACTCACGGTGACCAATACCTTGTTTTCAATAAAATCTTAATCAAGCAATAGCTAGACCAATAAGTTTTGATAAGTTCTGATAAGTTTCCTTTCCTTTAAACTGATGATCAGTCTGACACAACAATGATAAGCCAGTTTGCTGTCCTTGACCAAGAAATATTTAGTGTAGAAACAACTGGATAACACTTTAAATACTTAATTTTAGCGTGTTTAAAACAAGGTTCCAAAATTTGGATCAGGATTGAGATTGAATGTCCAAATAAAAATTAGGATCAGTTCGGATCAGCCTAATTAGATGATCCATATTGGAGGATCATAGTTAACAAAAATAAAATAAATAAGAAATAAAAATTGTAAATAATTAAAATTAATTATTATAAAAGTATTAAAATAAACTAAAGAGAAACACATGAAACAACAACCTAGGCCAAAGGGCAAATGGATTCAACAAAACATGCATAAGATAAAATAAATTTCCTAAAAAAGGCACATGACAACTTATGTGAAGTAATTAAAAATATATAAAAATAAATATAAGGACAAAAAACTAAGTGAATAGATATGATAAACCATAGATCAAAAAGGTACCAGTTCAATTGATTGAAACTTTAAAGATCTAAAAATTATAACTTTATAGATATGGTTTGATATCTCACTTGAGTATCCATCATGATTTGAAATTGGTCTCATGCTTATCATAGCTTAGCCCACACCTGGTGTGGGACTAATTGGACTGGGGTGATACCCAATGTGTTCCGATCATTCTCATGAATCCATTGCAAAATGTTGGCATTATTGGACTAAATCTATTTCACTATATTGACTCCTTTTCAAGTTTATTTGGATTTCTTAACCTGCATCCAGATTTCTTGGCATGCATTGATTTCAGATATCTCTTCAGTAGGATTCCCTAAGCACTTATACTTTCTTTTATGAAACATCTTAAAGTTAAGTAACATTAGAAGAAAAATGACTAGAGAAAGGACTAAGAAACAAGGAAATTCATATTCCAGTAACTAAAGGGAGAAGGGTACTTGCCATGTTTACACATTCCAAGGCCATGCATTACATGTATAAAGTTTGGGGCAATATCACGCAATGGTTGTCATTGGAGATGAGATTAATACAGAAAAATGTATGTTTCAGCAATTAAAACCATTTATGAGATCATCTAAACCATTCCTAAAGCCTCATTAACAAAGATAATATTCATAATTTACCATCCAGCTCACAACAACCAGCTGTTGCCAAAAACCCAAGGTTCGCTCCTTGACAAATTCGTGGTGATGATTATGTGTTTGCACATCTTGCTCAGTAGCTGGTAAAGCAAACAGAATTTATGAAGATTTTTTCATTATCAAATATTTATGAAAATATAAATGAGGAGAAAAAAGAGCAGATTACGTTCATGTTTCTTGTCATCATATTCCTTGTCATTGTGTTCCTTTTCATTTTGCTCTATTTTACTTTCATTTTTCTTCTGAATTTCTTCCTTGGAAATTTCTGCCTGAATTGCATTCTCCCAATGTTTCCATTTTCTAATCTGTAAAAGATAGCAAAATGAAAATTGAGTTACCAGGAACACCAAATATGCTCGTATATAGAAAGATATGACAGGTAGCTTGCCTTAGCTCCTCCCAGTACCATTGTAGAAGCAGAGAACACGACATGGACAACGGCAAGAACAAAGATGAAGATGTGCAGTTGATGCAATGCTTCAAGGGATAACAATGGAACTTTGCCCTGATATTAAACAAAACAAATTACCTTAATTTAGTTAGTTGTTGTTTTAAGAACAGGAGATAAACCACAAAAAACAAACATCAAAATAATTTCTCCATTAAAAGTGAACTCATAGTCAGACCAACAACACCTTTTTACCTCTATCAACGTGCTAAAAGATCTTCTGTTAAGAAACATCAGTTGTGCATGAGGTAGGAAATGTGCAGGGTCAATGTAATAACTTACCCGACCAAACGAAAAGCACATTTGTGACTTGAACCTCAACATCCAAGTCGCAAAAAAGCAACAATACTATGGTGCTAAGGCTCACCCTATTAATATCTTGAAATTTGGATCACAGAAGATACTAGAAGAGGCAGCTCAGTTCACAAAGCATCCTGGAGAGATCAATGGGTGCAACCTTAGCCCTACAAGCAGAGGGGATGTTTCCACAACTCAGAAAAACTTCTGCACAGAATTATTTGTTCACTGATTGCTTTTATTAGGACCTAGCATTAGGAGTTCATACAACAACCTGCCAATATGGTTCAGACATATTCTTCTGTTTAGTGCACACCATCATTTGCTGTACTCAGAATAATGCACTATTTTATATGTAATTGGTAAAATAGTAATGTTTCAGGTAAATTGACTTGTTAGACATCAGGAAATAAGCCTGGAGAATGGATGGATTAAACCGTTCTTTTCCTTCTCTCATTCCTAAGATGTGTCCGCAATAAAACCAATCTTTGTCTTTCTCTATACGATTCTAAAAAGTCTTCCATTTAAATGAAAATAAGGTAATACCTTACTCAAGCAGAAGCCAGAACTGGAACCACTGGACAATAGCCTCTGTTTGTTCCACCGATGTCCATAGTAGAAGCCCATACCATGATAGATTTCTTGCACTGAGGTAGATTTCTCCACCTTGCACGGAAGCATATAAGACGAAACACTTTTTGGGACACATATGTTGCTAATAAGACTTTGAAAGACAGTTAACAGAAGGGAGATAAATCCAAGAAGCATTAATTCTGTGTCAAGAAATGACACTGTCAGAAACTCATTAAACAAACAAAAAAAGAAGACACAAGTAGATTTGCATTAATAATGATCAAATAATGACCAGCAGAAATGACAAATATAAAATTTGGATAAATAATTTACAATGAACTAAACAACAAATTTAAATTGATTGCCACCTGAATTTTGGTGGTTAATTTAATACTATAAACTAAACAAAAGAGCACAAATGAAAATTTGTAGTTGGCCATTCATGCATTGTGAAATGAGCAAAAAGAAAAAGATAAAACTGGAGGGAAAACAATAAAAATAACAAACTAACCAAATGTTTAGGCCAAATAGATTTTATAGACATATGAAACTGAAGGGAAAACATTGTTTTCCTTGCTCCTGTCTGGTTTAAATTGTAGAAATCAATGAAAGCATACAATGAACATTATCTCAGCTACAGAGGTCTAATGCCTTGAATAAGAAGATAGTCAAAAACAACAAAACAACAACAAAACAAAAAATCATTCTTTACTAATGGAAAAATGATAAGCTTATCACATATATTTATCAAATGTTTAAGCAACTTTCGTTCCAAACAATGATGAAAGCTACAAAGTAACCAGCGATAATAATTATAAAAAAATGTAAGTAATGAAAGAATATAATCATCCATTATTGTGGCATACAAATCAGAAAAAAAAAAATCAAATAAAGCAGACTTGCAAAGAAATTGATAGTATCCTACATAACCTTCTTTCAACTTCTGCAAGGCCCGGTTAAGCGCATCCTGCTTTTTCTTCAACAATATCTGGAAATCAGCCCAAAAAAGAATAAGTCTTATACGAAAACATATAAGAAAAGAAAGCAATCAGCAAACAAACCACAATCATGCTTATTACAATGCACACGGTCTTTGTACTTGGCTAGGTAGGGCACAACATGGCATAACTTAGAGCTTCAAGTTGTAATCTGAATTCAAAATGATATGAAGGCAAATACAAGATATAATTTGTTTGTAAAGACATGCATTGAAAAACTATGTATCTGATATTTTCTTCTTGTTCTGCAAGTCAGGACTGAACAATGAGTTACTGATGATATTACCTATATTATTGATAAATCAGATAATATTTCCATCAGCTATTATCCTTTTGAGTATAGCAACAAGAAGGGCTGACGAATAGACACCGAAAATGTATCATCATAGTAATTTTAAAAACGTTAACAGATATGAACTTATACTTGTGACAAAAGATATAACCATATGCAGTAGAAATTGGTACTGCTACATACTAAATTTTAGTCAATCATTATGATTCTGACACAACTTGTCAAAATATATATTCAAAGCTCTAGGTACGGAATAATAATTATGTTCAAAGAAGAATTATTACAGCACTTATACACATCAATTGTATCTTTTGCATAGCAAGTCTGAAAGTAAGCATTAGAACAAAGAGAATGACTTAAACCAGATAGTATAACATATTCAAAGAGAAGATTAAACAGATTGAAATTTCCAGTTAAGTTCTACAGAATTTCAGAAAGAATTGACATGGATACAGAGAAAGAGATGGACCTAGAAGATATAACATTTTGACATATTCTGTACATAATTCATATTTATTGACAAAAAAAAGATCAAAAGAAAAGATAATAAGATTTAATATGTAAATAGAAGCAAATGGTGAAATAATAGACAATGACTACAAAGTTCACCACTAGGATTAGCAGTACATAGCATGATTAGCTTACCATTCATTACTTGCTTTTGAATTAGTCATGCATAATTTAGGGATAACTTTTTAACTTCACATGTAGTTAATTGGTCTCTAATAATTTTGAATCGAGTTGCTTGAAGAAGAAAATGCGAGAAACATTAACTGTGGAGAGAAGCATATGGTTAATCAGAATGATGTTTAATAGCTCATAAAATTTCAGATGCATTAACACAAAATGAAGTATTCAAACGACTAGGCATGGTTATAAGATGACCTGTATCTATAGAAAGAATTCCGATCAAAGATTAGACTGTAAAAAAGAAGACATGAACAGAACATATTTATAAATAAATTCAGAGTCGTAATATCCAACCAACTTTCAGCCACAGCTAACGCAAGGAAAAAACTAAACAATGAACGTTCCATGTTTACACTTAAATTTGATACCTCAAGGACCTAGAACATTTGAGTTTTACAAGGAAAAGGCTGTCAAATAAGTTAAATTATAAAAATTCTTTATTGAAAAATTAGTGTTACTAATCTATAGCTATTATGATTTTTAAAACAAACAGAAAGATACTTATACTATATCAAGAATGAGAATTACCGAGGGCGTCGGTAGTCTTTAAGAGAAAAGACCAAATGGTGAGTGGAAAATATTTGATAAGACGACATCTTGGTAACGTTTAGCACAATTCAACAAAAAGGGAATCTTGTCCACAAGAAATTGAACCCAAGTACTCAGCGGAGTTCATCCAATACGCATCAGCAATAAGATCAAGAACCAACGATCAAAAAAAGGAAATGGTACAGTTGGTTCAAAGGTCGTGCCTTTCCCAGGCAATGCAGCGATCTTTCTGCGGTGAGGGAGATGATGATAATGACGCTGCATACCGTCGCCACCACCCAAGTTGGGGTGTACTCGAGGGTCTCGGAAGGAGCATCGGCAGCCATTGCCGGCAGCTCTTATCGATCCCACCACCACCACCACTACTACCTTCCCCTGTCCCATTGTCTAAAGGCCGAGATTTTATTGGGGAAAGAGGAGGAGAGGAGATTGATATCCAGCACGAGAAGGAAGGAATCTCTGGTTTCAGGCAGGAATAAAGGGAAGCGGAGGAGTGTAAGACAACGGGGAAGGGTTTCTTTGGTTTTACGTATGGGATACAGACAAAGGACTCTTTTTCCTCCGCTTCTTCCATGGAGGAGACGATGAGGCGGCTCTTGGAGAGACGGATCATGGAATGGATGAACGGGTGTTCAAACAGCCAAATAAAATCACAGAAAAGAAAAGAAATTGGCAGAGGAAGTGACGAACAGTGGAAGTAAGCATTCAAGAGAGAGAGAGGTTGGAAGGTGAATAGGGAGAGATGACCGCAATTTTCAAGAATCGAAGGTCGCTATGCTACAAAATGACGAAAAACTTAAACATTTGCGTATTTTTCCTAAAACTTTTTAGATCACTTAAACTTATAAACTTCAAATCAAGAGAAATCATAATGACCCGCGCAAATTCATCATATTATTATTTATCCATAAAATAATGAACAAGATGAGATTAATGTTATCCCCCATCATGTCATTTGTTAACTTCCGCCTTTCTTGAAGGAAAATTTCATGCTATTTTCCAGAGTCTTTATTTTATTTTGTATTATTTACTACATTCATTAACTTTCGTAGTCGTTCTTCAATTTGCAAGAGCAGATTTTAACTCTTACCGGTAAAGTTGCACCGATGGCACAACTTAACCCAAAAAGAAAGTTCAGAGCACACGACTGCTTCCTTCCACGCTTTTGCTGCCGTGGATTACTTATAGATATGAGATGGGCGTTGCCATTTTGCCAAATGAGCAAACATGCCTGCTGCCCGGGCCACTCTGAAGAGGGTGATCCAAGCATGGTTCGTAATACCGTACCGGAGTTTCGACCTGGACTCGGTACCGGTACGGTACGGTATACCGCTCGATACACCCAGATGTACCGAGCGATATATTCAGGCGTGCCGAGCACTGTAGCAGTGTAGCAGTGCTACAGTACTGTTACAGTGTCGGAACGGTAACATATGGTCCGCATACCGAAAGTCTGGCGGACCGGTACGTACCGCCCGTATCGGGCGGTACGGATCGGTACTGCAAACCATGGATCCAAGTGAAGCATATCGACGAGCATCTGGTGGGCTCCGTGCGGCGAGCAGCATGGAAAAAACCCCGCCCCAAACACGGCTGCTGGAGACGGGAGAGAGCTTAACTGTGAGCGGGTTAGGCTCTCTTGTTCGTGTGCCTCCTCCGGTTGATGCCCTGTTGTCGTTACTGCCGCGCCATGATCCAGTGGAGGTGCGCCGTCATCCCCACCGTTATCTCGTCCGAGAGGACGACAGGCGCTGCTGCTGCTAGTTGGGGCGGATCGACTCGCCCGTCCAGCTTTCCCAGGGGTGATGTGGCTTCGCGACCCGAAATGGGGTCCATGAGCCATTTCCGGGAAGATTCCATCGGCGATTCGGCCCGTTTGAAACCCCCAAAACGTCCTTCCGGTTGGTCGGGCCCCAACCCGATCCACATTACTAATTGCAAGACGTGGTATATAAACGTACCTCTGTCTTCCACAGAATACATATAAGAGAACACAACAAAAAGCTGAGATTCCTACAGATCTTACACGCCCTCCAGGCTGATATATAGAAGATGGTATTCAGCTTTCACAATGATGACTACCACTGGAGCTTCATCATCATATATGTTGCTCGATAAATCACTTCCAGAACAAGTTCATAGTTCAAGATAGTTCAGCTAACCTGAACAACGAACAAAAGGTCACAATATTAAGTAGCAGATCAACAACAATGTATGCAAGTTTAATGGTGGACCAAGGAGGGTGCAGCATATGCTTCTTGCTCATTGCACCAAAAATTTAAAAAAAAAAAAAAAGAGTGTAAACAATGCCAAATTAATAGGTCATACTCTCGTTTTAAGATCAGCAGCAACAGCTTTCCTCTTCAGCTTATTTGGGGGTTCTGAATTTGTTGCAGACTTCATTTCCATGTTCTTGCCTGAGCTTACTTTATCTGGCTGATCACCTGCTTCATCCTGCTCAGCATTTCTGGATTTGGTTTCCCGGTCACCTTCAGCAGCTTTCAAACCCAAATTCAAGTCAAAATTAGTTCGGTTGCTATCCTCTGCTGCAACTTGGTCCTTGTCTGAAGCCTGGAACATGATACAATTCTTTTAAGAGTTCATTCTCATTTTAGGAAACCTGAAGACATAAATATCCTTGGTGTGTATATTTCAGAAAGAATAATAATTGGAACAATTCTGCAGCAAATGAAAAGAAGCATTACAAATGCATCAGTCCAAATGAAAAGGACAATTTCCTAGTACAAGTTCATTTTCGAACAGGAAAAAGAGCCACAATATTCCATGAAAAATAGGGTGCATTGTTGAGTTTCTTTATAGCAACTTAAGGCTGGTCGAGTTAGTGCAAGATGACAATAGACGAAATGCAGCCAAATGTTGAGCTAACCGTATACAGAACCTTATGAGAACCACCATCTCCAATGGACCAACATAGTTGGTGGCTAACTTTGCTCAACAATACAATCCTACATGAGCTCAGATGCAGTCTAGAAGTTAACTTAATCAGGCTATTCAAGCCAAATTTCTAATCTTCTCTAAAAGGCTACATTATCCATTGTATTTGACCATCCAAAAATTAAACCAGCTCCAGCTCATATATTCATTCCCCACATGACAAGATGAATTTCTATAGCATCAATTATTGGTGGAACTAACATGAAGGTGTGCATTTATGTAATCAATGGTCCACAAAGGCTTGCTGCTTCAAGTGGTTTTAAGATCTAGTATATTACTAAAATGATCATACTCTGTACTTATTTTCCATCTGTCTTAATAAGCTTATCAGTCCAGTCATGTATGATGCAAATAATCCAAGAATGAAGCAGAAAATAAATGACAAGAGACACATATTGTCACCTGGGCTTCTTCCACTGCAATGTTATTCATGTCAGGTTTTGTATCAGAAGAATCAATCTGGTTTGGCTGCAAAGAAGGATCAGCTTCAACAGGTTTATTCTCGTCATCAAGCTTTTCAGCAGCTTCTTGTTTTTGTTCTTCAATTACCGAGATCTGCATGGTTCATAAAATATTACAACCATCAACTAATGAGTATATACTAGAATACGTACATATTGCATAGCAAAGTTTACACTCTTCCAGTATTAATATAGACAATAAATAATACCTCAAGGGAAATGTTTGTGCATGATGATTATAAAACAAAATGTGATTCATTCCAATGAACAAAGATAAGAGAGCGATAATATGTTAACATCTCTAGGTGGTTAGAAGTAAGGTTTTTAATTTTGATGTGTATCACCCGAAATGGGCGGTCTGCACCGGTCCGAGAACCTCTTGGCATGCGGACCGCCCACTACCGGGCGATACCAAAGTTTTGACCCCGTATCAGGCGATACAGGGCTGTATTGGATAGTAAAGGTCGAAATCCAACTGTTACCAACCTGTACCAAGCGATAACGGTCGATTTCGGTTGTTACCAATTTGTACCGATACGTCCTGTTTTAGGCATACAAGTATAGGTATGACCTGTACCTATACCGTCAGTACACCTCAGTACGTACCATACCGAGCAAGGCTCGGTACATCGATATGGACTGAAATTGCGAACCTTGGTTAGAAGCACGTATAGATATGTTACAAAAAGAAAAGAAAAGATATGTTTTCGTGTTTTGTAGATCATAGACATAATTGTAGCATCATATTCAAGGTGCACATAACAGCTGGACCCTGACATGTTAACTGTAAGCATAATGGTGTCAATGACAGTATTAGTTATATAATCAGAACACCAGCAGCAGATTTAGATTTCTTCATACATTCATTAAGAAAAAAAACTATCAACATAGATCAGTTGGTTTTCTTCTTTTTACCAAACAATATTGTTTACAATAACTGGTAAAGTTTGAATAAGTATATGTAAGAGGTTAAAAAGGAGGAAAAAACCCAATAAGTTGAATAAGGAAATCAAATTATTTAGAGAATTTAACAATTTCTATGGTTTTGAAAACTTCTATCATACTTTGAAGCAAGGTTTGTAATTTCATACTATACCGGTGTTTCGAGTTCAGTTCGATACGGTACAGTATAAGTATATCGAGCGGTACATTTCAATATACCGCTCGATATATATATATAAAAAAATAAAAAAAAATAATGGCTCTACCCGTGTGAGGAGGAGGTTCCTTCCTTCTCTGTGTGAAACAAAAGGGGGGAAAGGCGACATCGCTCGGTTTCCCCACGGAAAAAAAAAAAGAAAGGGAAAGGCGACGTCATCGAGACGATGTCGCCTCGGTTTCCCCACACAAAAAGAAAGAAAAGGGAAAGGCAACATCGCTCGGTTTCCTCCGCGCAAAAGAAAAAAAGGGGGAAAGGCGACATCGCCCCGACAACGTCGCTTGGTTTCCCCGCACGAAAAAAAAAAAGGCGTCGCCTCGCTCGGTTTCTTCTGTTAGGAAGAAGAAATCACTTCTCCCTACAACGTCGCCGAGGCTTCATCGCCACGCCGGATCTCTAGGTTTTCTTTTTTCTTCCTCCTCTTCTTTCTTCTCCCTCTTCTTTCTTCTTCGTCATCGACCTCTTTCTTCTCCCTCTTCTTTCTTCTCCGTCACCGACCGATTTAGGAATGGAAACATTCGCAATCGATGCTATCACCCGGTAGCGGACGGTCCGTGTATCGATCTGCTGACGGATCAGTATATACCACTCGGTACAGACGGTATTATTCGAAATTAAAAACCTTGCTTTGAAGTTTGAACTCCAAAAACAAGACGAAGCATATCTATCTGATCTCTCAAACAAAAGCCAATAACTACATCAAATTCCACAATGAATCAATTATATTTGAAAAAAATAGAAAGAAACATTTAACATACTGCAAAAAATAGGACAAATTGAACTGATTTGATTGGAAATGGATAAACTATAGAGCATACAGAGAAAGTCATGTCTAATTTCTTTTTAGGTAAGAAGAAGTCTACAACATCATAATTAACATCCAAAAACTCTGAGAAACAGAATCCATTAATGTTATTTCAAGCATTATTTCCCCTCTAGTAGTTCTACAAACAATTTCCTACAGCATCTTCAAAACTTAATTGACACTTAACATGGGATGGAAGAAACAACGATGAGATAATCTTACAACCATAACAATATAGACCATGGTATTTCCACAAATTTCTTCTTACCTTGGAACAAAAACAATACGTAAATAATTTGGACTCGGGTAGTCATCATATAAACACATAAACAGATAAAACTTCAGATATTCATAAATTCTTTATTAATTCTTGCTATTCCACTGATGAAACTTCGAAATTATATGGTTATAACATGAAAGCATAATCAGACAAAGAATGGAAGTTGAAACAAGAGATGTAGAAGCTTGTTACCTCATGCAGCCAACTTTAGACTGGGAAGTCTAAGCTGATATAATTCCATAGATAAAACCCCTTCAATCACATGGCCACAAGGTGTAGATTCCTTAAAAGTCCTATCATCGTTTAAGATCTAGCAAATAGTTCACCACATCGATAAAAAGTAGGGTAATTGCCGGACAATTTTTTTTGTGTGTGTGTGTGTGTCTGTTTGTTTTCTTGTTAGTTTGTTTTTTCCAGTATCTTAAGAGACCAAAAAGTGAGTGATGCAGGAGCTCTCCACGATGAGAAAATACATTTAGTAGGAAAGAATAGGATGTTGACACATTGCCCAGGAAACAAAAGTATTAATACTGCTTAACATGCTGATCTGAGGCTTAGAGATCTAAACTGCATGCCAGATATTGATTAACGATCTTTCTCAATCCAATAGCATGCATAGCTAGTCATTTGTTGGAACTCAAGAAACTATGGAAAGTTGCTCCTTGGTTGCACCAGCTTAAAAAACAATCCAATAGAAATATTAGTTTTACATGCCAACTATATCTTTGGCTTCTGTAAATCTCTGTACTGTCAACAATTCCCTTATCTATAAACCAGGACCAGGATTAGATGGTTGTTAATATTGTTTCACATACAATCACAAAACAACATCAGATCTCCAATAGAATATCCTAATATTTGTGTTGCGCTCTATAACTAACTCCCTAGAATTATAAATTACGAAAGGGTTTGACATTTCTAAAGTGATCAGCATCACGCTACATTCTGGCGAGGAAAAAAATGAACGTTAATCTTATCATGTAGATAGCTCAAGCAACGACATGAAAACTCGTCAAACACCAAAAAAATAAAGGCCTGAAAGGCAAAATTAAGCAGTTGAAAGTTCAAATGTTGAGCCAACCGCATAGTTTGATCAACACATGGAATCAGATCACATGTCAAGCATTATACGATCGAGTTATCTTTGCATTCTTTAGGTTAGAATGGGGAAAAGAAAAACAACAAATAAAATCTTTTTCCGTCATTAATTTTTAATAATCAACTCCATGAACTTGAAAAACAAATGAACCAAACCCTAAAAAATGGCACAATCCAACGCTAGGGCGCAGATCGTACCAAATCTACCCAGGAGAGAACCAAACTCTACAGCCGAAATCGAAATAGAAATCCGTCAGAAAGAAGGGGATCGGTTACCGGAACGTATCGGAACTTCTTCGGCGGGGGCTCCTCGGCCTGGGGGGTGCCGTTGGCCGGGGAGGAGACGGGAGCCCACTTGTAGAGAAGGAGGTTGGAGCGAGCACCGTTGGCGTTGGCGGCGGCGTTGCTATTGGGGGCGGAGAGGGGGATCCACCTCTTCTTCCACTTCCTCACCGGGCCGCTGAAGACCGTCGCCGGCGCGTACCGGGTCGACAAGCGGCCCAGGCGACCCCCCACCACCTCCATTCCTGTATTTTACTCGTTATATACTCCTAAGAATGAAGAGAGGCGATGACGACGCCTTCGCCTTCTTCACAGGTCTATGTTTCGATGCGGTAGTTGGGGGGGAGTGGGGGGGGAGGGCGTCCGAGACTAAAAAGAAGCTCGGAAAACATAAGCACAATTGCATTTTAACTTGGGCAATTTATAAAAAAAAATATTAATAATAAAATTTTACCGGATAACACTTGCATATTTAGTTTTTACCGAAACGTTCTTTTTGTTTATTTACCAAAAATACTCTTAAACTCGAGTTAATTATTTTTATTCAACCAATAATCTGATTCAATCCTAACTAATCCAAAAATGAATCTGATCCGATTACGGTCTCGATTTAGGTGTAATCCATTCAAATTGAATCTTACGACGCGGATTGGGTCGAGTTTCAAAGCCAATCATATTTGAGATAAACGGTAAAGGAGAGTTACACGCATCAAACGAGTAATGCTCCTCTCATCTCCTTTCATCTCCTCTCCTCTTCAAAAATGAATGATGATGGCATCCTCATCTCTCTAATGATGAATGATAACAAAACTCTTTCCATGCGAATTTTTTTAATTTATGTTCACTGAGATTCTTGCTGTCCAAACAACATTAAATGTTGAATAATATGCAATAAGATCATATGCTTTCGCTAAACACGATCTTTTTAACGAGCATATATGCAAGATAAAATCTTCTTAGCATTAGCTCGACGAGAAGCTTGTATCTCCGATCCGATGCATCCTTGTCGTAATCAAAAGACTTGAAAAGATTATGAGGTCTAATAACTATAGTTTGAATCTATTTCTTGATATTTAGCAGTCTTAAGTGCAATAATGAATTATACAGACACAAAGTTTTGACATTTTCCTACCTGTATTCCAGCATGACTGCAGGAGTAGAAATCAAACTCAGAAGGATGACAAATTTTAGAATCAACCACGCTACCTACCTCTACCAACCATCAATCCTAAATCTAGCTTTAAAGAATGCAATAACTATTTCTAAATCAGGGTTAGAAGGATTTCTACCTTAACTCTTTTTCTCTCTCCTCAGAAATTTTAATAAAAACTTAAATAAAATTATAAAATTACTCATCTCTACTATAGAAATTACTATTGCACTCATTGCGGTGTGAGAGTGTACGTTTACACGTTCCCAGGTGGCACTCGATTATTGGTTATGATTCTTTATTATTATTATTTTTGTTATTTTGTTTCTCTTTTATTACTAGCGTAGAATATCTTCGTATTGTTCGATATTGTTATTGTACTCTTAGAATAAAAGAATTTGACTGACTTATGAGGTCGAGGAACACGCTTAGGACAGTGCTGGCATGCCTCCAAGTTCTTCTTCTAAATTTTTTATTTTTATTCCTACAATTTAACCTATATTTGATTTAATCGGAGGTTAGTTTAGTATTACTACTCTACTACTAAATCCAGCCTTGATATATACAATGGAACCTATAAGAGGTCCACTATTATAGTTTCAATAATAGAGATATCTCGCTTCCTGTTCCTTAAATCAGAGTTTCAAGTCGATCAAATGGGTTCATACTAATCAGCCTCTACTAGTCCGAAGAAGGATTGACACTGAACCATATATGTCGATGTTGATGCTAATTAGGATTTAAGTTTTTATAATTCTTTCAGTAATAACTAAAACCGGTGTAAGACTCATATTGAAAAAACGTTATATGTAATATTTAAAAAGATATGCCTTGATGCATGAGCTTTGAGCAAATAATTTAATTTTATATTAATCATTTGTTATTGGTTATTGTAATTTATTCTCCACAAAACTTTTGATATAGTTTTCCCTAGTTATAATATTTAATTTTGTATACATATAGAAATAACGTTAGATCCTTCAACTTAGGGATAAAAAAAAGCATATGCCTACTATAAATAATATATTTGATAACTTAATGATTTATATTAATCATTATTAAGTTATATATAACTAATTAAATATTTTTTTAAGAGTGAAATCGAAGATGCATGAATCACCTATTCCTCTCAGGTCATCCCCTCCTTCACTATCCCGTGCTTTCTTAGCTACTATGTCTGTCACACCCCCAAATTATCACATTCAAAAGGCATGAACCTATCTTAAATTAAAAAAATATATATAACACATCAACATTCTAATACAAGATCCAAACTAACATTTGAGGACGCTGAAAATTATTCAAATAATTTTTACATATATAAAATATTTATAATTTATAATCATATACCACGTCACTCGATAATTCAGAAAACTCAAAACCAACTTAATATAACATTAACAACATTTATAAATCCATCAATGTGAGAATCTAAACAATCGCAAAACCAACCATTTACTACAAGTTCTTATCATCGTAAACTAAACTTAACATTCCAAAATTTAACAAGGTCTTTTAAAATTTTATACGATATATCAATTCAAATTTATCGATAACATTTCATTACATACAAATTATACTTATACAAATAATATAATAACCCACAAAGACTTGCCCACAATCTGAATAGCTTTCGACTACCTCAGCCAAATTCTAAAATTTCAATAAGTGATAAGCTAAATTGAAAATTTTATGTAGTAATGGAGTTAGCTACAAAGCTTAGTAAGTGACTAATATATCCATGACCAGAGAGGATAGTTTTAAACAAACTTGATATCAAAATGCTGTTGAATCTCAAAATTTGATGATGAAATTAATTGATATGTTTATGATCTAATTATCGTTTTGAGTGATGTAGGACTAACTTCGATTAGAAAAGATAATTCGATTAAAGTAGGAGGAATTGGACATTAGGCTGGAGTGAATATATCATAAGATTGGACGTCGGTCGACATGTGATTTGTTCTTTGATCTTGGGTTACTAAATCTATTGTAACTCTTTGTTGGAAACTTCGGTTCATACGAAACTTATTTTATTTGAAAGTAGATTGAAATATCTTTCACAATAGCTTTCTTGAGTATATTGGAGCATGATTGATAGTTTGAATCATTTGTTCGATGTGCCTCTTGAATTATGCCATAAATCGAACTTTGGTCGATTTCGTATATTCTGGTTTCATTCCTTTGGAAATTGATTTCATTTAGCTTTCTTATTCAATTGAGCTTTATATTACTGTTTTGAATTTTTGTATGCTCTTGTTCTTAAAATTATTTATATTCTTGAAAACTATTGTTTAACGTTTATGCTATATCGTATTGACTCATATAGGCATATGTATATCCCATTGTTCCGTATTTGCTTTCGATATGTGCCTATTCCAGTTTCATTCCTTTGGAAATTGATTTCATCTAACCTTCTTATTTGAATTGAGCTATATGTGATTACTTAGAATCCTTGTATGCTCTTGCTTTGATTTCCTTTCAAATCTGAATACATTTGTGAAGGATTATGTTTGCATCGTATTGACTCATAAAGGCACATGTACATTTCGTTGTTCTGCATGTGCTTCCGATATGTCCCAATTTATTATTCACAATACCCATTTGTACTCTGGTGTTTGTGGGATTATTTGGACCTTTGCTAGAATGGTAAAGGGTATGTGTTTAGAGCCCGTGATGCTCTAGATTATGTTTGGTGGTCATTCAGAAATGGATAGACCATATTATGTTTGGAATCCCACTTCACCTTCTATCTGCTTGATATGAAATTCAGAGCCGACCTAGCACTTGTGCAAGGTGAGAGGGCTCAAGTAGGAAAGGGCTACCCGAGGATGAAGTCGAGAACTCATCACGGCATGGAGCCACCATTGAGTTAAACCTCACATGCATTATGCTAGGGTACGACGTCTGAGCTTCTATTTCGTATTTTGTATGGATATGCTCCAAAATGTTTCCTATGTTATTGACATACTTCTAAATGCTTCACATACCATTGATATATTTTGAAATGTTTCATTTGTCATTGATATGCTATGAAACATTTCGTATGCCTTTGATATGCTCCGAAATGTTTCATTTGCTATTGTTATGCTCTGAAATGTTCCATATGTCATTGATATGCTCCGAAATATTTAATCTGTTATTGGGATGCTTCGAAATATTCCATATGTCATTGATATGCTCCGGAACATTTCATACGCTATTGATATGTTCCAATTACTCTATGCTCCATTTGTTATGAATCAAATATGTTTTGAATGACATGACATATATGATTTTGTATCTAATGATATGGTATTTTGAAAATTCTTGGATTCTGTCTTGTATTGTGATACCTTGTTTGTTTGAAACTGTCCCTTCTTGTTCTAGATATGCTTTGTCACTTGTTGAGCTGTTTTTAGCTCACTCCGTTGTTATATAAATCTTTCAGGTCAACTTGTCACTCTCTGAGATGTTTGTATTGGGCTGAGACAGTGGATAGCTATTCAGAATTGTGGGCAAGCCTTGTTGGTTATTATGTTATTATTGTATAAGCATATTTTGTATGTAATAAAATGTTGTCGATGAATCAAAATGGATATACCATGTAAAAGTGTTAGAAGATCTCTCTTATTTGGAATTTCGAAATGTTAAGTCTAGTTTACGATGATATGAACTTGTGGTAAATGGTTAAAGTTCTTATTATATAAATTACTAAGCTTATGGATTTATAAATGTTGTTCATGTTTGTTAAGTTGGCTTAGGTTGCCATAAATATGAATTATCGAGTGATGTGATATAAGATTATAGACTGCACATGTTTTATAGACATGAATTTGATAGAATGTTTTTCAATGTCCTCAAATGTTAGTTTGGATCCTGGATTAGTTTTTGATGAAAATTTTAATATTATTGATCTTTTTTGAGGGGCGTGACATCATCAGCCACGAAGTCACTATCGATTTTGTTATGTTAAATCTCGGATTTTGATGATGAAGTCAATTGTAATTTGTTTGATCTAATCTATATGTTGAGAAAAGTGCACAGATTAACTATGATAGCCGTAAGACATAAAGCAGGTACTGTGCCAGAGTCAAGATCGAGATCACGTTGGGAGTACGAGAGTTCGTCGGAAGTTCTGCCGGAACCAACCGAGAAGTCCAGGAGCTTGCCAAAGAAGCTCGTTGAAACTTACCAAGAAGATCATCATAAAGTCCAGGAGCTTGCCGGGAGTCC